CCATCCTAGTGAACTCATTGCCTTGCAGGAATTTTCCTGCCCTTACAGACAATAAATTGTGTTTCTGAGTTGAAGACAGCTCCACATAGTCCTGCCTGCCTCTAAGAAATAAAGACTATTTGTAATCATCACTATGTCCACAGCAGAATCTGAGCAATTTGTGAGTAGACACAGGCATAGGTCTTTGAAATTATTATCAGTGATATTAATGATTATAACTAAGCTTGTGTGCTTTGAGTCAGTGTTTTTTGTTGTTTTTTGTTTTGTTTTGTTTTTGTTTTTTTGTACCCAGGATTAGTCATAATTTGATGTACAGTTCAGATTAAGCTTTTCTTCATTAGTTATATGAAACTGTCAAGTGGCTAGTCTCCTCGAATAATAGAAGTTTGTATACAGTAAAAGGATATACTATAAAACCATGAGCATCTGCAGTTAAAGATTTAGCATAGAAAGAAAAATGTAGAAATAAGCATCCAATGTGGAAGTATTATCTTCTGGCTAGTTTATTTCTGGGTAACTTATCGTCATGGTTCTTTGCTTTTTTCACCAAAAGGCAAATATTTCAATACATTTTAAATGTGCATCCAATCTTGTAGATAAGGAATATGAAGTTAGTTTCTTTCTCTTTGAATACAATCATTATGTTTGCACATGAACAGTAAGTTTAAAATTAAATATTAATTACAAATACGATTTCAGAAATGGTTATTTCACTTACAATTTTTTTGTTGTTGTTTTATTTTAGTTTTAATTTCTTTGCAAACCATTCTACATTTATGGTTCAGCAATCAAAGGAGTGTAAAGTGGATTTGATCAAACTGCTTTTACTTGTGAGAAGCTGACCTAAAAAAAACCCTCTTTTGTTTTGGATTTTTTGTTAACTTTATCTGGAATAAGATTCTTGACTCTTAAGGGGAAAAGGAAATAGAGAGGGAAAGAGAAGAAAAAGAAGAAGGTGATGAGGGGGGAGAAGATGCAGAAGAAAGAGAGAGAGGCAGGGGGGGAAAGAAGAGGGAAAGAGGAAAGAGGTCAGGGGAAAGAGATGGAAAGAGAAAGATACTACATGCATGCATAAGTCCAATAATGTCCTGGAATTAAGATTCTTGCCAAGGAACTTGACAATCTCCTAGGTAAGAATAGAAATAGGAATCTGAGGGCTGTTTCCTTCTGACAATCATGTGATAAGTGCCTAGTGGGAAGAGGACCTTCTCTATTATTTAGCAACAGGGAAAATAATTCTAGTTGTTTGCAGTACAGGAAGTGCTTTGAAATCATTAATGTTTCTGTAGGATTTGATAATGGTTGCCTTTCTAAAGCTCTTCTTAAAAAAATAAAAGGTACTTAGCTTGTTAAGGGATGTTATAGTTGTGAGGTTTTGTGGGGGGGGTTTTTGTGTGTTTTTTTTTTTTTTTTTTCCAGTTCTTTATATTTAGTAAAAAGTCAGAGAGAAAGGATAAAATTTTGTTTGTTGTTGTTGAACTTTCTAGATAACTGTACCTCAATATCTCTAACTGAAAAATGTGCTCATTTTGAATAGTCTGTTATATGATATGTTGCTCCAGTTAAGAATATAATACCTCATGGTCTGAAGGATTTGAAATTACTTATAGGAGACAATAGGTCTACTTCAGAGTTTCTAAACTAAACAAGGATTGCAGAAGCTCTGTGCTGCCTATGAATGTTGGTATCTGCAGACAGCATAAAACTGAAATGCAGAGGGGCAGCAGAAATCTTCTCACATTCGTTTTGGTTCACATGGCTTAATTGCCAGAAAAACATACATATGTTTATAGATTAATAAATAAAATAACATGCATATAATGTGTAGATTGATTGAGAGTACATTTCAAATTGTCTTCAAATTTGATAGACAGATCTCTTAAGTATAGCAAGACAGTGATGTGATTTTCCTTCCCTGTATCACTCTATTTCAATGTTTCCCTGTAGCTAAAACTTTGAAATGCAGTATGCTCAGGGATGCTTTTGGTTTTCTACGTGGGTGAAGGAGTTAGCCCTGGGAGATATAACTGCTTGAACCATAGATGTGCCTACAGCTGTGTTGCTCATTCTTCCTGGTCAAAAATACTGGCAAATATCACCTTAAAATACAATACAGGAAACTTATAGTGTATTATTAAGTGTATTATTATTATTATTATTATAGTGTTTTAATCTTGATTAAAGAGCTTATGTATTATGTCTGCTACATGATGGAATAAAGTTCAGTTTCAGCAAAAGTGGAGGACTGGGTGTGTGCTGGAGATCAAAACTGCTGAGAGATCGTGGCAAGTTGAAGACAGGGACTGATGACCATGAAGTTGGACAAAGGCAAATGCAAAGTCTTGCCCTAGTTCTGGAATAAGCAGTAGTTTAGGGCATGGTCTGACTGAGTAGAAAAAAGCTTTGCGGATAAGATTCTAGCAGTCCAGGTATAAAAGAAGTTGAACCTCAGTCAGCAAGGGCCAACTGCACATTTTTTCCTCAAATGTTTAGCTATCAGGTACAGGAAAGTGTTCCTACACAACTATTTAGCACCTATGAGAGCACGCTGGGAATGCCCTGTCACAGTTTTGGTTCCTCAGTGTAGAAAAAGACATATGCTGGATTAAGTCCAGTGCTTAGAGGATTAAATACTTGAAGTGGTGAATTCTCCATCCACAGAGGCGTTTAGAACTTCAGCGGATGAAGTACTGACCTACTGACTGTCTGATCTATTGAATTTATTTTCAGCAAGAATTTAAACCACTTGATCTCCAGAATGTCTTTCCAGCTGCATACTCCTGTGAATCTAATATATCAGTTATAAATCTAATTAATTGTTTTCAACAAAATTTCTTCTGTGAAATTCTTTGTAGAAGACTTGAATATCACAAGTTATAGGAAAATTGTGTTGTGCATAAGTTATGTAATAACTTCATAATCAGTTCAATTGTGATTTATTTATAAATTGCTAATATTAATGATTTTATGCCAATTCATTTAATAGTAGGAAGCCTCTTAGAGATCTTCAGTACAGTACCATAAAAGTAATGTCTTTCTTTGCTTTGATTGGAAAAAAAATACTGTTTTCTAGATACATTTGTTGCATTCAGATGAACTGAACCAGTTATATCTTTAATACAATGAGAAACTTTTGTTTTCTTGAAGAGTCTCAAAACAGATTTAGAACAACAGTGACTCAGAAAACACTATCTGATAAATGGTAATTGAATTGAGAGTGACAGAACTTCAAAACTAAATTTAAATTCAAAGTGGATGATTTTTTTAAGTGGCAATGTGCTGATAAATTCTGAGTCTTGATGGATAAGTTAAGATTGGGAATGACTAATTCTGTAGTTTAAGAAAAAACACAATTTGGATCCTTTTCCCTTCCACCTACTTTAGCTCATAAGAAAAAAAAAAAAAAAAACACAAAAAAACAGGCGAGAAGGAGAGAGAGATAGGGATATCAGCGTAAAGAAGAGTAACAACCCAGAGATATTGTTTAAAAATCTTTAATAACTGTGGACTGTCTCTGAAGTCTTTAACGCAGAATGATTTCCTGTAGAAAGTAGAAAAATGAACTGAAAGAGTGTATGTGCACCAAATCTAGGTCTTTTCTCTGAAGAGGTATTTTGATTCATCACTTGGACTGATGGATCAACACATAATGTTTTGCCCCATATCTGAAGGTGTTCAAGGCCCTCTAGTGACCTGATCTAGTGCTCGATTTACTGATTGGCAAAGATGGCAGAGGGAACTAGATGATCTTTAAGATCCCTTCTAACCCAAGCCATTCTATAATTCTGTTATAATAACTGGGGTAGATTTATGCATTGGTCAAATAAGAAAAATATCTGTGAAACAGCAAAATACGAATTCATTCTCTACTTGTTGCATGCAATGTTATTGTTAGTACTGTAGGTATTAAAGGGCATTGATAATTTAATGAAAGAATAAAACAAGTGTAGTAAAGAGAAAGCAGCTCCCTCTTCCTCAGTTCAACTGACAGGGGATGAGTGTGTTTAGTAGATTAAACCTACACACATGTGAATGTGTGTCAGTAAGAAAGGAAGTAGTGATTTGACAAGTTTGAGGGAACAAATATTATACAGTTATATCAAAATGTCAAAAGTACTTTAAATCTCTGACAGCCCATAATCTATGTTAAAGACTGAAATGTGAATTAATGTTGAAAAGCTAAATATCAAAATGTTCCAGGGAGCTAAAAGTTGGAGATTTCCCATGAACACTTACTAATCATTTAAAGAAAAAAAGTGAATGTTCTTTTCATATATCATGCACTTGTCTGTCAGACATCAGTAGAACAGACTTACTAACAGTAGTTGTTAGTAATATGAAAGTAACAATAATTAATGTCACTTCTATTAATTAAGTATACATAAGGTGATGAATCTAGTTAATAGCTGCACTGTTCAGCAGCATGTTTCTATTACCACCTTCAGAATGTTTTTGACCATGATGAAACTCTTATTCTACAACTTACATTTTTCTACCATAATTATTTCAGAGTAAATTAAAAGAGAAGAGCGAAGTAATTTTAGTAGGAGTCTTAACATTACGTCACTGCATCTGTCCCTTGAATTTTGAAAATGAACTCCTTTTATTTTAACTCACCTTCAAATCTTAGATTATCTACACTGTTTCTCTGATAGTGACTCTATTTGGCAGGAACATATTTAAATATTATAATAAGCAATAAAATCCTTCATTAAGGCACGTTTATGAAAACACAAAATTGTAAGATGTTGCTGTAGGGTTTTTGTGAAAGTCTGAAGAGATTTTTTTTAAAAAACAAATGTCTCCAGTACCTCAGTATATGAAATAATCTAATTGTGGTGCTATATTTACTCTGTAAGTAAAAGCATTTACTGCTGCATAAAGAATGAACATTACTTAAGGCATGAACAAGAGAAAACATTTCTGAGCCAATGTATCAAGTTTTTTTTCTACACAATAATTATCAGAAAACTATATATGTGAATTTCTTTCTTTTCTAGCGCCACTAACAGATAAACCACCAAAGCTTTTACACCCATTGGAAAGTAAGCTAACAATTCAGGAGACCCAGTTAGGTAAGTAGTAAAGACATAATTTCTCTTCAAATTGTATGAAGATATTTGATGTGTTAATGTACAGTGGAAATGTGATAATATGATGTCATTAATACTTTCATTGAAAAGACATTAAACATACTGTGTTGACATGCAGAGGTGTACCATATAACATCTAGAAGATTTTTGTTCACCAAAAAAAAAGAAAAAAAAAAAAAAAAAGTAGAAAATAATTCTTAGTACTAAAATCTTGAATACTACTGCATTTTTTACTGTTTTTTTTTTCTATTTCCCATTGTTATGCACGTGCCTGAGATTTTCTTTCTAAAGTTTCCCTTTTTCGTATATTTAAATATATCCATATATATTAAATGCTCAGTGGGATTTTGTCATTTAAATTCTTACATGACTTACTTGGTACTTACTTATGGAATTGCAAAGATATTCTGTTTTTATACTTTCTGTGTTTATAAACGTAGTACTGGTCTAAAACTATTCAGCAGTGACAAGTTAACATAATTGAATCTGATTATTTAAAATGTACAGATATTTATGTGAGTATGAATAGAGAGAAATTTATGTACAAAGAAACTATTTTTTCACTTTTTCCAAACTAGTGGACGGTGGGTATATTTTCTCACTTTGATCTCTTACTGCTGTACATGCAATTAAGTATCCAAACCTATGTGAACGAATTACTATAGCTTACAGGATATAGAAGTTTTTCTCCTTTTGGACTGACAGATGGTAACTTCCAAGAAACAAGAAGTCATCAGGAAGTTAAATTGGACTTATAATTTGGTGTCAGAATAGTATCCTGTTGATAGATCTTTGAGCATGTTAACTAAAGACACAAAGGGAAACAATATGCTGGTTGTTTTAATCCCATAAAAATAATTTAAAATTAAAAAGAAATAAAATAAAAGAAAGAAAACCAAACTCAGGACATTCTGCAGAACAACATCAGCAAAAAGAAATAGCAGAATTCTTGCAAATGAGTTTGGAGAGTCAGCTACAGAGACTCTTATGGTGCTTGGCAGCCTGTAGCTAATAGTGGCCATGATATAACTCATCTTCATTTTGGTATTAATAAAAATTACATTATAATTCAAGTATTCAAATAATGTTATGAGGTTCTATACACATATATTCTGAAAGTATTATATAGCGTAAAGGGGTTATATTCCCTAGTACAACTAATTTTTTTTGTGTCCGAACACACAATTTCTGTGTTTGATGATGCTTAATGATTTTATCTTTTCATTCACCTAGGAAATGGAAAGCATATATTAAAAGTCGTGAAAAGTTGTATCAGAGCTCGAGGAAGTGAGGAAAGAAAAAAAAGATAGTACTCTGGCTCAAATATTGTTCCATTCATAGATTCAATGCTTTGATCCCTTTGGGTAATGTTTGAAAGTGCTACATTTCACTTTCATTGTGAAAAGCTACCGTTTCAGTTCATATTTTGCAAAAAAAAAAAAAAAAAAAGGAAAATATTTTATCATTGAAATAATATTCAGGTTTACTTACCCAAACCTTAGAAAATTACTTGAGGCAGCAGCCTCCCACCCATCTGAGGCCTGGGCTAATCATAACTTGCAGACTGATCTGGGCAGTGATAGAAAACATGATAGACCTCCACAGTGTGTTTAGGATGGTGTGTTCGACTTGTATTTGAAAATTAAACATATTGATGGAAATATTGGCATAGAAAAAGAAGAGCAAGGAGGCAAGAGCCTCAGGTAGTCTGGGATTTCATGCTGCAGGGCACGTGCTGGTGCAACACAAAGCTGGTACAGTTCTCTCTGCTCACACTTCTGTCCTTATCTCACAGTTCTCCACATTGAGCAGGAATGAAGGCAAGACACACGTCTGCACATGTCCTTTGGTTATACATTATGTACAGTGATGCCTGTGCTTCTATGGGCACCCAGGTTCTTCTGAAACATTAACAGTGATAGTTCACCTCAAAATCCTCCAGTACTAGCAGGCCTTTTGGGAATGGTTCTGGACATACTTTTGAGAAAATTTCTAGTCACCTCAGTGTTTTTGTTGTTAGAAGAGCCTCTGGAGTTCAGTTCTTAAATCAAGGAATTGTGTAAATTCTGATGGGAGGACCAGGTCTATCTATAAACTTTTAGTTCAGGCCTGAGTAGAAATGACATTGTTCAGATTGATGTTATTTCTTATATATGAAACTCCTAAAATAGAAGTAATTCTATTTTTTTAACTCTAGATTCATATAGATGTTATAAATTTGGCAAAAATGCATATATGATGCATGTTTATTTAACAATTATGTTCTGTTTTTCTGTATTGAAATTTCGAGGCTTTTCAGTTTCACCAGGCTTTCAGGCAATGTTGTTTTTCCCACTAGCAGTGTAAAACATATTTTCTCCCTCAAAGAAACTAACAGCATATTATTAGTCTGCCTGTTGAAAATCTCATTCTATTATCCATTTGAACCATTCATGGACCTAAAGAAGACAGGTGTGTCTCCATAACAGACTGTAATGGATCAGAATTAAAAAAAAAAAAAAAAAGCAAACAACAACAACAACGAAAAGCCACAGCAATACATGCACACAAAACAACATACAATAAATCAATGATATTAAGCAGCTCATAAACTAATTGGCCTATGTCCTCCGCATTTTTTTCAGTATACTTTCTGATTCTGCACAAGCCTATAATTTGAAATGCCAGAATTCACCTAGAAAAATAAAGCAATAGTTGAATTATTTTCATCTAGACTGAATGTTAGACAAAGGAGAAAACGAATAAAGACTCTGAGAACCATATGAATGAGCCTAAAACATAGAAAGGTACCTATGTAGTTTGTGATTTGAATGAAGTGAGTTTTCATGAATTTCATCCAATGCCAAAATTTATTATTGTGACTAAATCTGCAATGAATGTGGTTTTGTTGTTGTTGTTACTGTACTTGCTGTTTTGTCTTTTGTTTGTTTTTAGAGCATTATTTCCTTAAAATTAAATTGACCATTCTCTAGTGAATAGGGGCTTGCTTCTTTCTCTCTGTCTTAAACATATTCTTGAAAAAAGTAATTAAACTGGCTATTAATATGTTCTTTCTAAAATAAGAATATGAAAAAGTTCCAGAAGGAGATGAGAATACTTCAGGAAGAGTAGGATACTACTTCATTTATAGCAACATTTTCATAAAAATCTTCCACACAAATTGATGTTATTAATGATAAAAGCACTCCTTAGCTAGCCTAATCAGTAGCTGTATAAATAAATTACCTAAAGTGATGTGAAATAACCAGCAATATATGTCTCCTTTCTAGATGATAATTAAAATGTAAGAATGCCTAAATCATTTTTAACTGTACACTATTAATCTAACTGCCGTACTGATTCCATAAAAGGAACAACATCTTCATGATGTTAGGGATTCTTACATTGATCTATTTAATTGTTCCAGTGTTCTTTACAATAAAATGATCTATTTTTGAGGAAGAAATCCTCGACACTTCTCCAGTGCTTCCATGTGGCTGCACGCTCTGCTCACTGGAAGATGGCTGTGGAAAGGAGACTCTGGGACAGACAGTGGTCCAGCAAAAGACAAAGAAAATGGTGCCACTTCCAATGGCTGCCTGTCCCCTGCACAGAAAGGAGCCATAGTGTGATTTGTATCTCAGCCCAGCTGCTGAGACTTAGTGCTGTGAACCGGATCTTCAGAGCATTGTGCTCAGGATCCTTCACAATGACATGAGGAGCTTTACATCAAGGGAGGCTGATATCTCCATTCTCTTTAAATACCCACCCATGTGAATTCTGCTGAAATATAGGAAGATAAGATCTTAGGAATAAAATATAGCTAGGCCACTAAGGCCCCTGCCATGGACAGGGCTGCCTGCCACCAGCTCAGGCTGCCCAGGGCCCCATCCAACCTCCAGGGATGGGGCATCACAGCTTCTCTGGCCAGCTGTACCACAGCCTCACCCCCCTAAATACTACAAGACAGCTAACTTTTCTACTAAGTTTCAGTTTAGTATAATTATTCAGTCAAATAGTAGAACATTCAGTGTAAAATGTTTTGCTGAAAGACTCACTCGTAAAGTTGTTAATTTAACTGAAGAGTAGCTCATGAAAACTCATGTGTTTGACATCTAGTGTTGAAGGATGAAGAATAAGTGCGTTTTCAGCATCTCAATAAAAATGTATATATATGTCTTTAATAAGTTTTATCTTCAAAGACAGGCTTTGAAACATAAAATAGCCACTTAGGAGAATAATCGGTGGTAATCAGGTCCCTGGTGACTGGAAAAAAGCAACATCACACCCATTTTTAAGAAGAAAATAAAGTATGACCCCAAGAACTACCGTCCTATCAGTCTCACCTCTATGCCAAGAGAGATAGTGGAGCAGATCCTCCTGGAAGTAGTACTTAGGCACATGGAAGATAGGGAGGTGATAGCATGGCTTCACCGAGGGCAAATCTTGCTTGACCAACCTAGTGGCCTTTTATGATGTGTCACTGTATCAACGGACAGGGAAAGATTCACTGATGTCATCTGTCTGGACTTAAGTAAGGCCTTTGACGTACGACCCCACCACATCCTTCTCTCCAAGTTGGAAAGATATTGATTTGATGGGTAGACTGTTCAATGGGTGAAGAACTGGCTGCAGGATAAAGTCCAGAGTGATGGTCAGTGGCTTAGTGTCTGGATGGAGATCAGTGATGAATTGTGTCCCACAGGGGTCAGTGCTGGGACCAATACTTTGAGGGAGGTGACCCTGCCCCCCCTATTTTGCAGAGGTGAGGCCTCACCTGGAGTTCTGTGTCCAGATATGGAGTCCTCAGAAAAAGAGAGACATGGACGTGTTAGAGTGCATCAGAGGGGGGATACAAAAATGATCCAAGGGATGGAACACCTCTCCTATGAGGACAGGCTGAGAGAGCTGGGGCTGTTCAGCCTGGAGAAGAGCGGGCTCCAAGGTGACCTTATAGCAGCCTTTCAGCATCCAAAGGGAAGCTAGAGGAAAGAAGGGGATGG